TATTAATGAAGACTACATACATATATATATAGATAAATATATTATAGAGTATATATTCACTCATTTTACTTTATATTAATTTATATTGAAATCTGTAAAAAGACTTATATTTAGAAACAAAGAGGTTAGTACTTGCCTGCAGCGACCCAGCGTGGCGTTGTGGCAGCCACCCGTACGTACATGCACCAAGTTTAATTATGAAACACATTGCATCTCCACATATGTGCGCCCATGTTGCCAGCCATTTCCGATCCTTGTCATGTGGTGCACGCTAGCCACCACACGAATACGTGCATGACGTACGTAACGTACTCTTTTCAAAAAGAAAAGAAAGGGAAAAACGCATGGCTGTAAGTAACGCGCGCGCTTTTGAGCTAGCCGCCCGGTCGGTTTCCAGTTTGCCACCCAAGCTTTAGCAGATCTTGATCTCTATGGTGACATGGCTAGCTATGGCTGCAAGTGCTTCGTTTACGCCACTGACATGGCTCGACGCGAAGACACATATCAACGTGCGGACGCAAAGGCAAACCAATCTGTGATTGAATGGTTAGATGGACAATTCTATCTTCAATCTACTAGGGTTCAAATTCTGGTGCTCGATATTAGTAACACGCACGCTTTCAAGCTAGCCACCGGGTCGGTTTCTAGTTTGCCACCCAAGCTTTAGCTGATCTTGATCTCTACGGTGACATGGCTAGCTTTGGCCGCAAGTGCTTCGTTTACGCCACTGGCGTGGCTTGACGCGAAGATAGATATCAACATGCAGACGCAAAGACGAACCAACATGTGATTGGATAGTTCGGTGAACAGTGCTATATTTAGCCCACTAGCGTTCAAATTCCGATGCTTGCTATAAGTAACGCGCGCTTTCAAGCTAGCCGCCCGGTCAGTTACTAGTTTGCCACCCAAGCTTTAACAGATCTTGATCTCTACGCAGACACGGCTTGACGCGCAGACACACATCAGCACGCGGACGGAAAGGCGAACCAACATGTGGTTAGATGGTTAGGCGGACAGTGGTAGCTTCAGTCCACCAAAATTCAAATCTTGATGCTCTCATTTATGGTGGATTTATTTTAGAATTTTTGGCGATGCACGTTTAGTGCGAGGAAACGTTTTCATCGGCTACGAGGCCGTGACTTGGTAAAATCTATAAATGATATTCTGGATTAGTCGGTTGAAGATGCTCATAGAAGTAGGATGTGTATGTGTGCATTCATAGGATGAGTGTATGCCTCCATACTTGAGCGTTTACATCTGTACCGTGTTAAAAAAAACGCGAACGCAGCAAGGCGAAAACCAATCAAACTCCGTTTCCTCGGCAGGAACGCGGACGTACATGCGACCGGAGTAGACGAGAGCTCTGACGTACGTGTGGCGGCGGCTTTGTACGTGGAGGTGTGGAGCTCGGCTAGGTGGGGCACCCGGATCCCGGCCGGGGTCCAAAGTCCAAACCCCGGCGCGCGCGCGGGCTCCCGATTACCCGTAACGGTCGGACGCGATCGGGCTGTGGCCTCTTGTTATCGTCGGCTTTTCCCGTCGCCGTCCGTAGCCGGTAGTGTTCCACAGCTGCTGGATATTTTTACTCACTCCGTTCCATATTTCTTAACTGACCACGGCTGTTACCAGCTGCTATGGGTCCAATTACTTGTACACGTGGTCCACTACCCCCAGCCCCCCGGGTTTTAGGCATTGGACCATGGGGTGTATTCCCGGCAAGGCCGCAAAAATAAATAAATTATGGGGGTGTAAACAGTAAGACTGCGTTATCGTACCACCGGTGGATCATTATAATCATGTTTGCCAAATCTGTTTTTTCATGCTTATAAATTTTTGTTTGAAGTGTTGCTTTTGTACATATGCACTATTTATGGAATATAAAATAATGCCGAAAAAAGGAATACGGTGGTGTTTATATAGCTCAACTAACTGGGAATAACAATCATTTAGAACACCCCCCTCCCCCCCCCCCAAAAAAAAGCATAACAAATTTCACATACAATAATCACATGAATTTATTTAATAAACATGCAGTTCAAACTAAATAGGGATACATGTTCAGTCGTCGGATAACAACATGGCGTTGACCGCCTCCCCGTTGCACCGCGCG